GAGGGAAGAAGGGAAGGAGGGAGGGATAGTGGAGAGAAGGAAGAAGGGAAGAAAGGGAGGGCATTTTATACCCACCAAATTAACAACATGGGAAGGAAAGAAGGAAAAAAGGACCGAGGGAGGGAAGAAGGGAAGGAGGGAGGGATAGTGGAGAGAAGGAAGGAAGAAGGGAAGGGAAGAAAGGGAGGGAGGGAGGGGACAGAAAGGAAGGAAGTCACTAGCCCTGGTGACATTGAGACTGAACTGCTTCCTTTCTTCTATCTCCATTTCTTCATCCGAAAATAAAAACGGTGCGAGCTGCCTGTGGGAGGAATCGCTTGCTGCCTTCCCCATCCAAAGCCTCCCTTGTACCTTGTTGATCGGGTGGCCACTGAGATGCAGGTGGAGGATGCTGGAGGTGGGGGGTGCTTCTGAGAAAGCCCTTTTTGCCCCTTCCCCTCATCCTCCTGCCTCTTCCCGGATCATGGACACATGGCGGCTGGCGCTTCAGCAGGCATCTCGGCGTCTCGGATTGTGATACAAATGTAAAGATGGAAAGATGGAAACGTTTGGCTGTCTGGCAGAACATAAGCTAGAAAGAGGCTAGGACCTGAAGACGTGTAGCTCCCTTGCAGTCCTGGACTGCTGACCTCAGGATGTCCTTTACATGGGAAAAAAAATAAAGCTCTCTTCTTGTTTAAGACACTGTTGTTTCTGGTCTGTTACTTACTTGCAGTTGTGTGCGTGTGTGAGTGTGTGCGAGAGAGAGAGAGAGAGAGAGAGAGAGAGAGTGTGAGTGTGTGTGTGTGTGTGTGTGTGTGTGTGTTTAAGGCTAGGCAAATGAAGCAGAGGGAGTAAAGGAACAAAGAAATCTATAACTAGCTGTGATTTATAAACACCACTGCACCGACCAGCTAGTTGAATGCAATCCCAGTGCCAAGGAGGGAAGAAACAAATGTGCAAGTCACCTGCAACAGAGGACATTCTCATCTCTGCGAGGTTATGCAAGGTCATCGACGACAGGATTCTTGTCGTTTGGGTGCATGTTGGTGGCGGGTGCACAGGTATCAACAGAGTATCAGGATTTGGTCATTTATATCTGTGCATTGTAAGGGGCTTACATTCTAAGTCACTAAGAAGACACTCAAACGCTAACTCAACGTTAACAGATATGGAAAGTATCCACTTGGTATTTTCTAGAGCTTCAGCCAAAAATTTAATAAAGAGAAGGACAAAACATTTCATGGAGATGAAGAACATTACTGAGAGACAGAGCTTATAATCTCAACTTTGAAATGGAGATAGAAAAGCTGGGTTGATTCTATCCTTTGGCTTCCTAAGTCATTCTGAATCCCATCTAACTAGGAAGAGGCTGGACAGATAGAGAGATGGTTTGGATGGATGGATGGACGGATGGACAATCAATCAGACCAATTCAAGAAAAGAGGGAAACACATAGAGAAGAATGTTTCACAGCCCTCACCATTAGTTCCTTAAAAACTACAATGGAAAAGCAACCCATGACCCGCCTTCAAAAACATCTAATAAAGAACTGACTTAATCACAGGGATGTGAACTACAGCACAGGAACTACAGTCAATGGTATCGTAACAACTCTGTATGGTGCCAGGTGGGGACTAGACTCATCAGAGCGATCACTCTGTAAATTATATAAATGTCTAGCCACTATGCTGTACACTTGAAACTAATATAAAATATCGAATGTCAATGTAACTGAAAAATAAAATTAAAATTATTTTAAAAACTTATTGGGGACTTACTCTGAACTCTAAGGCTCAGATGGAGTTCAAGCTTCATTAAAACACATTCTAGAGGACTGGTGGACTTATTATTCTATTGCATTTTGCTATACTGAATTTTTTAGCCAGAAATAATTGGGCCACTGTCGAGTTTTTAAAATTGAACTTGTGTGTATAATGTGTTTTACAACATCATCAATAAGAAGAATGAAAGCTTCATACTCCATCTGCCTTCAGCCAAGCACTGATGGTCCACCCCCTCTACCCACCCCCGCCCCTGCCCCAGAGCAGAGGAGGTAAATCCAGACCCGTGTTGCCCGTCCAAGATTCTCACCTCTGAATATTTCTTGGAAATCGGTCCAGTTTCGGCTCTTACACTCCCGCTTCCCACAGCCAAATCTCACACAGCAATGGAGCCAGCGATGGGCTCTCTGGGGCTTCTGGACTTACTTTCCCAAGAAGCCTGGCCCCCAAGATCCTCCCCTTTTGGCTCGGTTCTGTGAACAGAATTACTTAAAGAATAACTGCATCCTGGACAAGTGAGTGACGTCCAGGTCACACCCCCTTCTCAGCCAGCCCTTCACCCGATCCCTTTATGAAGGGAGAAGTACATCCTTCACGGAGACACAAAGACGCTGCCAGACCGTGGAGGAAGCAGCGTGTTGTTTTCGGGAAGGCTGGGGGATTTCCGAGGGAGCAGGGACCGGGCGAGGCTCAGGGGGAAGATTTGCTCTTTCAAACCTTTTCTTGCAGCCACTGCTGTTTAGAATCAAAGGGCAGAGGCTGGTGGTCCACCTAAGCAGAACGTTTTTAGATGGTTGTTGGGAAAGGCAGTAATGAGCTGAGGACCTTGACACTGTCCAGTACCTTGGTGACACAAGGCCAACGTCACTGACCAAGTACCTTGTCCACGCCCAGTGCTTTAAAACCCCCTCCACAACCCAGAGGTAGAGATCACTATCCCCATTTTGGCAATGAGGGCATCGACTCCATTTCCTGCCCAAGGGCACACACAATAAAGCATCAGAGTTGGAACTCAAAGACACACATCTTCTGATTCCAACTGTCAATCTTGGGCTCAGCCTGCTTTTTAATCATTAAGTGAATATTGGTTGAGCATCTAAGTGTGCCTTAAACTGCTGGACCAGCCAGGACACTGACGTAGAGCATGACATGGAAGCTTGTATATGAGCAATGACACTTTCATGAGCAACATGGCAGTCAACCCGCTACACAGAGGGGCAGGTGGGGCTGAAATTCACCTGTCTGAAGGTAAACTTAAATTTTGTCAGATCTTCTGGAACCTTATTTAGATCCAGATACTACGTGGAAATGCTTCATAAATTGTAAAGCAGTATACCAGCGTTAATTAGACAATTCTAGCAGAATAAACAGAGATAATTAACCTAGATAAAGTTCATTCAGACTAAATAGTTGACGGAGCAATTTTTTAGAATTAAATTTATTAGGGTAACATTGATTAATAACATTTAAGTTTCGGGTGTACAATTCTATAATATGTCATCTGTAGATTACATTGTACGCTCCACCCTCCAAAGTCTAGTCTTCTCCTGTTACCATATATTTGACCCCCTTTACTCTCCTCATCCTCCCCCACCCTCTTCCCCTCTGGTGATCGCCATACTGCTGTGTCTGTGTGTTTGTTCGTTTGTTGCTGTTTTACATCCTACAAGAGCAAAATCATATGGTTCTTTTCCATCTGACTTATTTCACATAGCATGACACTCTCAAGATCCATCCATGTTGTTGTAAATGGAAGTATTTCATCCTTTCTTAGGGCTGGGTTGTATCACATCGTATATATACGTACCACTTTTTCTTTAATACTTAGGTTCTAAGTGTCTTGGCTATTGTGAATAAGGCTGCAATGAACATAGGGTTACACATATCTTTATGAATAAGTGTTTTCAAAATTTTTAAGTAAATTTCCAAGAAGGATTGCTGGGTCATATGCTAGCTCTATTCTTAATTTTTCGAGGAACTTCCATACTGTTTTCTACAGTGGCTGCACCAATTTACATTCCCGCCAGCAGTGCACGAGGGTTCCCTTTTCTCTACCTCCTCTCCAACGCTCGATATTTCTCCTCTTACTGATGATAGCCATTCTGACAGGTGTGAGGCGGTATCTCTTTGTGGTTTGACTTGCATTTCCCTTATAGCTAGGGAAGTGGAGCATCTTTCTATACATCTGTTGGCCATCTGTATGTCTTATTGGAAAAAGTGTGTTTGGGTCTTCTGCCCATTTTTTAATTGGATTTTTGGGGGGTTGTTTTTGTTGTTGTTGTTTTGAGTTCTTTACATATTTTAGATATTAGCCCCTTATTGGAAGTATTGTTTACAAATACCTTCTCCCATTCAGTTGGTTGGCGTTTCGTTTTGTTGGTTCCTTTTGCTGTGCAGAGGCTTTAGTTTGACGTAATCCCATTCACTTATTTTTGCTTTTACTTTCCTGGCCTTTGGGGTCAAGTTCACAAAACCCCTCTGAGATCAAAGTCCGCATATTTAGTATCTATGTTTTCTTCTATGATTTTTATTGTTTCAGTTCTTAAAGTCTTTAATCAATTTCGAGTGAATTTTGTGTATGGTGTCAGACGGCAGTCTAGTTTCATTCTTTTGCAGGTGGCTTTCCAATTTTCCCAATACCATTTATTAAAGAGGTTTCCTTTCTCTTCATTGTGTATTTTTGGCTCCTTGTCAAAAATCTGTTGCCTTTATACGCGTGGCTTTATTTCTGGGCTGTCACTTCTGCTCCATTGGTCCATTTGCAACAATCTTATTCTGTGCCTGGATCCTAGGAGTTTATCAATCCAGGTGCCCTAAAAGGTGGCTTTGGGGCCGAATGACCCAGAGAATGTCAGGGCAACATCATTTCCTAGCACTTATCCAAATCTACGAGTCAATTTCCCTGGTTACTCCAGCATAATGTGGCTGGAGAGCTAAGTTACCCTTCATTCCACAGGGTTTAACGGCGCAGAGAGCCGCACGGGGCCAGCCCCTCCCTGAACACAGAACATGATCTGTTCTTCTTCACCTGCAGCGAAATTCATGAGAAAGTTTCTAATCTTGTAAAGCTTAGCTCCAGACAAAGAAAAAAAGGTGTTTGAGGAAGCAGGAAACAAAAGAACGAAATAAACACGATCCTTCTCCTGGGTCGGTTTGTGTAACCCTATTGTCTCACTTTGTCCTGTCATTATCAATAATACATTTTACAGAAAAATTTTGAATAAAGACATCTTAAAGAAAAAGTGAATGGCCCAGAAGTTTATTTGCTTAAATATAATACTTAAAATATTGCCAGAACACACGAGTTTAGCGCCGCCCCACCCCCCGGCCCCTCCGCTTCTCAATCATTTTGGTATTTGACAATTAAGACCCCACGTGAAGTTGCAATGACTTGCCAACGTAGTTTCTCTAGGACATGGTGAAGTCACATCAGATCCCAGGGCTGGTAACTAAGACGTGGCTTCCTGCCTCGGGCTGGCTGGAAAGAGTCCTCCCAGCGACCACCTGACACAGGCTGATGCGGGAGGGGGCAGCCGCTGCCGGGCCTGCAGCTTACTCCTCCGCCGTCCCATCCAGGATGTTTTTAAAGGAGAACGGAGAAAACTTGTAACCAGCCCCGACATAGAACTTGTTCTGGAACTCCACCCTGTTTCGGGGGCAAGAAAATGGGGATTCAACACAGAGCGAGAGGCTGGCGGCTGGAAGGAAGAAGCGTTTCTAAAATCAAGCACAGGGTTAAGAAGCTGTGCAGGGAGAGACCCAGGCTGAAGCTGCCACGGGAATCCTCCGAGGCTTTTCATAACCTTTCTCTTGCTGGCATCTTTCCTTCCGCAGCCCCGCTTCCTCTAGGCCTTCGTGGCTTAGTGGCCTCGCAGACCACAGCATAAGAACCCTGCCCCCCAGCGCCCCACAAGCAAAGAAGCCCTCGCCATGTACCACTGCCTGACGAGCTAACGAGATCACTTCACCGGGTCATACATGGTCTTTCGTGTCCATCCTCATCTGAGAGTGATGGGCTAACACTACCGCAGAATAATCGGCACCTCACAGAACAGACATCATGGATGATCACTGAAGAGGGAGCAGAGTTCGTTTCTTTAATGACATGGGCAGAAATGATGTTATAACCTGAGGCAGGGGACTCCGTGACTCTCAAGTCAATATATGAAGTATAAAACCTTTCTTTACGAACCGCAGACATAGAGAAAGGCAGAGCACATCAGTGAGGGCTGCAGACAGGCTGTGCTCCGGCCACGTCTGCGAATGCCGGAGCCCTCCTGTGACCACCCTATTCCCTGAGGGGTCTGTCCTTCTGTTTCTGCTTTCTTAGCCTGTCCTATGGGTCTCAGTCCTGCACTCGGCGACAAGGACCAAAGGTCCTGGGTTTGCCTAGCTGCCCTCTGAGAGCCTATGTCAGACCTGTCATCTTACCAATACTTGGAGGTGTCCCTTATTTTGAAGCCACTTGTGATATAACACATGGAAATTTAAAAGAGTAAATGAGAACTCACATTTATTATAGGGTAACCATTATACACATATACCAATATCACATCGCTGAATAGTACATCGACGGGCGACACTGCTAATGTCACACGACCCAGGGTTTGAAGCCCGCTGCCTGGCCCTTCAGCCCACTCTCCTACCTCTGTGCACATGGAGCTCCTGCGGTGCGGCCGCTCTTACCAGTGCAGGCGCAGGGCGTGCAAGAAGGCCGAGAGCCCCTCCATGATCAGCAGGATGGCTACTGTCAGAACGGCAAAGATGGCGAAAATGATGAAGACCCCGATGAGTCCTCCCCAGCCTCGCAGGTGAAGGCCGACGTTCATCACCATGGTCCAGAGCACCTCCGACAGTTCTGCAAGATGCAAGGGCAACACTCTCTAGCACGGGTTGACCTGGCAAATGCAGGCCACCTTTGGCCATGACCCTGGGTCTGCAGACCCCGGATTCGACCACTCCATTCCCAGTTGCAGACGTCAGAGGCACACACCCCAGGCACCTGCATGACGTACAGTCTGTGCAGCTTTGTTCACAGGGGAGGGGTTTCCAGCAAGAGGATGAACACACAGTGGTAAATTATGCACCAGTGGAAGCGAGCAAACTGTAGCTAATGCAGCAACGTAAGTAAATCTGAGTAATAGGATGCTACGCCAAAGAAGCAAAACACAAAAGAATGCATGTTATATGATTTGATACGGACTGGATCTCTGTGTCTCCGCCTGCCCCTCAAATTCATAGGTTGAAGCCCTAAGCCCAAAAGTTCTGGTATTTGAAGATGGGCCTTTGGGAAGTGATTGGGGTTAGATGGGGTTATGAGGGTCGGGTCCTCGTGATGGGGTTAGCGTCCTTATACTAAGAGCCACCTGAGAGCTCGCTCGCACTCTGTCCCATCCAAGGAGACGCCAACATTATATTCTGAGGTTAAGACTTCAGGGTCCTCAACCAAAAGGTCACGATGACCTGGACCACAGAGATAAAAGCCGGTCACCTGTAAGTGGCCATGGGGACAGGACTGCTAAGTTTGTAGCCATTTGTTACAGCAGCAACAGGAAACCATTCTAGTAACATTAAGCCAGACCTCCTGGGGGAAAAAAAAAAAAAAAAAAAAGTCCTTTCTTCCTAAGAAGGACTTTCTTCTGGCAAACACGCCAGAAATGACCCAGAGCAGAGAAGGCACTTTTACCTACAAGCACATTGCATCTGACTGCGACCTTGACGGGAGGTTCGCTCACCTGCATGAGCCAGGCTGAGGGCCCAGAGCCGGAGGTAAGAGGCTGTGTTGGAAATGCAGCCCAGGCAGTACTCGATCGTGTGGATGGCCTGATGCACGAAGACATCTCCGAAATCGAACTGGAAGAGAGAATGTCTTATTCTCCTTTACTAAGTACTTTCTAAACAAAAAGTACTACAAACGAGACACAGATAAATAAGACAAGGGCCCCACTGTGAAGACGCGTCCAGTTGAACTAGGGGGAAATAAGCATTCACGTATCATCGAAAGGATAAAAAGTACGATATGGTATGTGTGCAGTAACATTTCCCACAAATAGCTGAAAAAGGATGAAAGAAGAAGAGAGATTGGCCGGGAAGGGCCGTCGTCACAGGTGAGCTTTGTGCGGTGCCATGAGGATGGCGAGACATCCAGACGTCAGTCAGTGAGAAGCAAGATCATTCCTGGTAAAGAAAATGACCCCTGGTAAGGAAAAGGCCGGCAGGTGGGGACATCACGAAGGCAAGTGTGTGGGGGGAGGGGACGATCTGGCTGGAGCGGGGGTCTCCTGTGGGTGAGGAGAGGAAGAGGGTGTGCAGGTGCTGAGGTTTAGTAAAAGCCAAGTACGGACGAGGGTTGAGAAAATAACCTGGAGTTGTCGGAGAAACGTAAAGGGTATCTGAATAGAAAGTGGCAGCAGGGAATAAAGAGATATTTGCGGGAAGGTTAACCTGGTAGCCAAATGGATCAGTGATGTGATAACCTATCAGCGAAAAAGCCAAGTCGCCGATTAGCTTCATCATCCAGGTACGAGTGGGACCGCTCGCCGTTCCCCTCACGCGCCTGATGCTGTGGAGGGAACAGTCTGACCTGCACCATCTCTGCCCTCAAGCCGCGCACAGTCTAGAAGGGAGAATGTGCACACGGTTACCAACCGCACAACTGAATGTCAAGTGCAGCCATCGGGAACGCAGCAGCATGGTGGGCACACAGAGACGGGCCCCTCGCCCAGGGGCCACGGTCACACAGGGCTCTGAGGTTCTCGAGTCCTAGTAGCCCAATGAGTGGCAATGACGGAAATGGACCGACTGGAGGAAGTGGGTAGTGGAGTGACCGTGGGGGCGAAGCGGACTGAGACCAACGAGTGAAAGGCCGTAGGAAGCGCTCTCGGCCTTGGGAGACATCTTCGTTTCAGATATGAGACAGAAAGAAACGGCTGATGAAAAGAAAAAGTCTTAGAGCCAGGTGGAGCCGCATGGCTGCAGTCAAGGATGGAGAGCAAGCACCCAGGAATGCAGGAATGGGGTGTGGTCAGCCGGGTCAGGTCTACGGAGAAAAAACGCCTCTCACTTCAGCAGTGAAGACCGGAGGAATCCAAGGGGCGGGGAGGGGCAGGGATGCAGTGAGTGGGCGGAGTCCAGGTACAGGAAGGGTGTGCAGCGACCCATGAACCCTGTCCAGAGAGGGGTCCGGCTTTGTCCTGGCCCCCCCGGGCGGCAGCCTCTAAACCTTTGGCATTTCCCAAGTGACCGAAATGTCTTCATTACTTTTGGGGAGCCCCTGGAACCACATCTGCTGGTTCTTGTGAGGCCTGGCCACACCAGAAAGGCTAACCACGTGGATAAAGAGTTGAGACTTGGAGCCAGCATTACCGGCACGGTCTCCAGGGGCAGGGGGAGCTGGAGACAACAACCGGGGCCACACTCCATCAGCCACGCCTGCACAGTGAAACCCCAATAAAACATCGGACGCCGGAGCTCAGGCGAGCTTCCTGGGCTGGCGACGCTGTGCACGTATCACCACACGTCAATGCGGGCAGAGTAATAGATCTCTGAGGACACAGAAGCTTCATGTTTGGAGCTTTCCCAGTGGCTTCCGCCTATGTGCCTCCTCCTCTGGCGGGCTCCGATTTATATACTTTCGCCACAATAAAACTGTACTCGTAAGTAGAGTATTTTCCTAAGTTCCGTGAGTCAGCCTATAAATTATTGGACCCAAAGGAGTCTGAGGGGACCCTGAGTCTGTAACTGGCTGGTCTGAATGAGGATGGTCCTGGGGGCCCCCAAACTTGTGGCGAGTGTCAGAAGTCTCGGGCGGACTTGGTAGTCGAGAGAACGGTGCCCTTAACCTTGAGTCTGGCTGACTCCTGGTGAGGAAAGAGGTGGGAAAGGACTTTGAGGGGAAAGCAGAGTCACGCCGGAATCTGCCTTGGGATGGGAGATGCGTGCGCACTGGCATCTGGGGGAGGAGCCTACAAATGGAGCCTGATGATGCCCCAGCAAGGGCAGCCACTTCACGGTGGAGGAGGCGGGCGAATGCTGGCTGGATATATGTTGAGAGCACGAGAAGAACAGATGAGGGAGGCTGTACTGGACAGGCTGAGATTAATGAGTCAGAGGACATGTGGGTTGGATTCCAAAACATTCCGGCAGGTCTGACGGGCTGCTTAATTTCAGTAGCCACTCCTATGGGTTACTCTCTGTACCTAGCATCTTGTAGGAAAAAATTTCCATCATCCAGATTTTTCTTTAGTTCTAACTGACCATCTATTAGTTGAAATGAACTTTTTTTTAGCAATCCGCATCACTAATGGAGCCCCTGATAGCATCCCTCAGGCCTCACAGGAACCCAGAATCAGAATAGAGGGAGCCCCAGTGACAGCCCTTCGAGGCTGTGGTGACTTCAAGCGTGGTCTAAACACAGCCAGCTGCCCTGTCTGGGAAAATGTGGTGCATTCCTAAGCGGGGAGTGGCTGCCCTTGAACAGAAAGAGGCAGGAGGGACCAGGGAACAAAACAAATCCTGAATTCCCAGGAGGGGCAGATAATGTTACAAAGATTAGTCAACAGATATATACGCCTTACTGTTAAAGTGTACAGCTAAAACGTATTGGATTTCATTAACCAACGTCACCATAAAAATAAATACATAAATAATTAAAAAAAGGAGTATTCAACGACGTCAGGACAGAGCCAGGGTTGAGGCAGGAGGAGGTGATGGCGGCTGTGCACACCATGTCGGGGAGGAGGGCTGGCAATAAAATGACCCAGTTTCTGCTTCAGTCCCTCGGGCTAGATTTGGGCTCTGCTCTCACGGTTTGAGGGGCCCTGGCGGGAAAGCTCATGATAAATGCAGCTGACTCCCAGGGGCCTGGTTCTGAGCCAAGGAGGCCTCGGTGACACTGAGGGCCTCCTGTGTCACTAGATCTGAAGTCTGACATTCACCCCACACTCACGAATAGAGAGGCACGTGTGCTAAAATGTTCCATTTCTCCTAGAGTGGCTGCTATGCAGCTGCTGCTCTGAGCCTCACAGGTGCTCCCAACTCCTCACGACTCAACGATGACAGGGCTGTCACCAGCAGGGTCCTCCCAGCCCTTCCTCACCCCCCAGCTCTACTGCCTAAGTTCACTCCCGTGGGCTGGTGTCCACAACATACTGGTTCGTAAATATTTTACTATCTCCTCTGCCCAGGTCCTCTTCTAGAATCTGTACAAACTGAGAAGTCTTTGTAGGGAATCGAGGACCAAATACCTCTTCTTCATGGTCGTCCTGGGCCCCATGGGCACTGGCAGAAGCCCCGTGATCAGCACTCATGGAAGGACTGGAGTTGTGACTGTCGATGTCCTCAGGGGAGTGTCCTCGGATCCTAGAGGTCTGCAGCTGTCGGCAAGCAAGGAAACGAAGTGTTAAATTCTTCCCTAGAATCAGAATCACAACAATGCTACAAAAGAAAGCCTCTTGCTAAATATGAGCTACGTATCAGGCACTGTTCTAAACTCTCTCTCTCTCTGAGAGAGTTTCAGTCTTTCTCATTCAGTCTTTATAACAATCTTTTTTATGAAAGCACAATTATCACCCCATTCTAGAGAGAGATGAATTACAGCAAAGAAATGTTAAAAAATGTGCCCAAGATCGCACGGCTGGGGAGGCTAGTTAGCCGCAAAGCAGGATTCAGACGCAGGTGGTCTGATTCCAGAGCACGGGCTGTTCTCCACGGTGTTCCAGAAGGTGCCACGTGAATCACAGTCTCTACAGAAAACCGATGCATGTATAAGCGTGCCTTTCCATTGTTAAAAGAAAAAATACCCACTGCCATTAAAATCATTATTGTGCCAGACACGCATAGCCTGGTGACCTAAACATCCGGATTTCTACAAGCGAAATTAGGAGATATGGATGTTTACGTCCCCACCAAAATTCAGGTGTTGAAATCCTAACCTCTGAAGATGATAGCATTAGAGGGGGGGCCTTTGGTGGTGGTTAGGTCATGAAGGTGGAGTCCCCATAAATGGGATTAGTGCCCTTATAAGAGACCCCCGAGAGCTCCCTCACCCCTTCCACCACATAAGGACACAGTGAGAAGGTGCCAACTATGAACCAGGAAGGGGACCCTCACCAGGTGAGCACGCAGGAGCCCTGAGCTTAGACTTCCAGCCTCCGGAACTGTGAGCAATAAATTTCTGTTGTTGATAAGCCACCCGGTCTATGGTACTTTATTATAGCATCCTGAACAGACTAAGTAAGACTTAATGGTTTTTCCAACACAAATACACTCGTTAAAATAAAAACATCACTTTATAAAAATAGCTAAGAAAAATAAAAATCAAAGGAAAAAATCTAAGTCGCCGTTCCATGTGGCCTGGTTTCATGCCTGAGTTTCAATAGAACATTTTCTTCAAGTCACTGTGAAACTTAATGTCCCATGTCCAAAGTGTTTCCTAGAATGATTTCACAGGTGGGGATACTGCAAATTTGACATGAAAGTAGCTTTACCTTTCTTTCTTCAGTGAGTCTGCCCCTAATATCTGCAGGACCCTGGGCAAAGGTCAAAATGGAAGCCCACGTGCCATACATTTAAATCTTTAAAAGTTATACATCAAGCCAACTAACTCCTAAATAAAGTATGTTCTAGCCTCCTAGCTTGATAAAGAACTTGAAAGGCTAGGTTCAAGTTCAGCGTCTCGGGACAGCTGGCCGTACACCACGGCATGCCACCTCTCCTCTCCACCTCTGGTTCCGTCCCGCCTCACGAGGGCCTCGCGTGCACACCCGCAGACACTCCCACCCACAGTGGCCATGGTCCACCCACACCCACAAACACCTGTCCCTCGGCCATGCCAGGGTCCAGCGGTGCCCATGCCAGTGGTGTGGCTGGCCCTTTGTAAAGTGGACTTGAGTCCATCTAGACAGGAATTCCAGGGTGCCGGGTACCAAGAGGGGGTTCTGGGTAAGGCTTGTCCCTGGGCTGTGTGGGTTCCTTGTCCCATGGTGAGAGATGTGACTTGAGTTGATGTTACTTTGTCTTCTTGAAATCCTATTTTCTCTCCCCATCGACTTAAGGAAGAAAACATCAGAGAAGAAATCGAAGACAGTTTTTCCACTTTCATCCCTAACTCTAGCCTTTTCCGGTCATATCCTGGAATTGGTTAAAATGGACAGGAATAATTTTGTAGAAACACAATACTGGACTTTGTGAATTTAGTGACTCTTCTTCCCCAGTCAAAATATACTTTGCAGTCCCCTTAACTAAGCATCTCACAATGTCTGAGCTGGGTGCTGCTCCAAAATAATCAATTTTAAATCAGCTACTTGCAACTTTCTAAAACCGCATATGTCAAAAGACATGATGAGTATGTGCTATTTGTAATTACTAAAACTGGGAGCAAGCCAAATAACTATCAATATATGAATGGCACCTAAATTAGTATATTCATACAAGGAAATATTATATAGCAAACACACACACGCACACGCCCTGAGGAAAGTTTGCAAGACATAAGATTCAAACAAGCTTGCTCTTAATAGAGTATTATTCTGGAAATAAGAAAAGGACCAAGGAAAAGTCGAACTCTGCAGAAGGAGGGCCGGTGACTCGCCTCACTGCCGTCCGTCAGGCCCCGGTAAGCCCAGTGTTCTCGCTAAAGCCCAGAATTCTCTTTCCAAGGAACCCGCATCCCTGCCCACCACGAGCGCACAGCTCTCACCTGGGATGTCCGATGACGGGCTCTAAGAATAAACGGCTTAATCAGAAGCATCCATGGCACAGAAATCAAAGCCATAATAACAAAGAAACTTTGGACTTCTCGCTGCAAGAGCAAAATGGTAAGATCCTGTCATGTTAAGGTGACCACACAACACACTGTGTATGATAAACGTGCTAAATATGGGTCATGTCAGTTGCATTTTATTTTGAGAGATCGAAAGCGTTTTCGTGAATTCATTCACCTTCACACCTTGGAATATTCTAAATGCAGGCAGAAAAACATCAGCCCATTTGCCAATCCAGTGGCACCCAGTGCAATACTGGGCAAGCACTGGAGATTCAAGTCTCTTTGCTCCTTATTCTCTAAGTAACCCCTTATTATTCACTTATACCGTATGTAACCAGTCACTCGAACAAGAAGTGCTCATGAGATACATCATAAGGGCAACTTTATTGGTCCCTTGTCCCTTTCACTCTGTTCCACGGGAACAGTTAGCCCTACCTCCCTAGATGAATCATATGGTATGTCCCATGGCTTCACTGGTCACTCAACAGTAACCAAAGTCCTTGGGTCACTTTTAGTCACAAACACTATCTTAACTGGTAATTTTATATTTCCAGTACAAGATGATTATCACGGCTCTCTTTCAAAAAGAAATTTTTTTCCTCTTATTAACCAGTTACCCCAATAAATTAAATTTTTAATATTAGGTATATAAAATTTAGTTTCGATTTGCTTAATGTCTACAATGAACACGTACGACTTTTAAATAACATTTTAAAATGAAATTAACTAGTTGGAATTTTTAAATAAACGTATGCTATAAACACACGAAAAACGAAACCCTCACAATGTCTAGCTAACGCATACTCTCACTGCAGGTGAGCTACCTAACGGGACCTGGGAAGTTATGTTAAACTTTCCTGTCTCTCTCTCACGGTTCACTTTGGAATGAGGCATCTATGGTCCCTACACCTCTGCTGAAACCCAGGAGCCATCCCATTTTACGATCCTGTTCCATATTTCCTTTCACACCCTCGCCCCTTGCTTCTTTAATATATTCATTCCCCAGTCACCAGCTTTGAGGAGTGACTCAGAGCTGCTATTGTCAAAAGAATCAGGAATGCTGGGTCAGCGCTGTTGAAGAGAAGTGGAAACTAGGTGCTCACAGTAACGACCACCACAAAAAGATTCTTTAGCCTTCACTTTTCTTCAGCCGTTTTGGCCAAGCCCTTGGTGAGACAATTTATTATCCCAATGATAATAAGAATTACCCTGGTAATAGTCAGAACATCTTATCTGTTCAATCTTCTACCCTCCTGCACTCTTAGATGCTCAAAAGATGAAGAGAAACTGTTCGATTTTCAACGAGGCTTCTCCGCAACTTCATGATGTACAAAGCAGCTGGAGGTTTCTACTGATATGTTGCTCTTCTCCCGTATTCAAACGTGGCACCAGACGGCCAGGGCAGTGCGGGGAAGGCGCTGGATTTATCCGCCTGTATTGTCTCTTCCAGCTGTTTGACCTCAAAATGAGGTTATGAAAACTCGAAGCTGTCAAGATCATTCATTCTCATCCTAGGGCCGGGGGAAGGCAGCCAACTCCCAATAATGCTTTTTAATGGGAAAAAAAGCTGGAAACGCCATTCACTGTGCCATCCATGCTCAGTGCATATTCCAGACTAAGTGTGGACTTCAGTGTTCATAAAAAAAAAGCGTTTACTTTGAGAATAAAAGATCATTGACTTTTATGTGGAGCACTTACAGCTTCAAGCCAATCAATTTGAAGGATTAGTTTCTCTTCCTTCACCACGTACAGGTCCATTTTCGACCCGCACAGCACTACCCTCTCACGTATGACGCAGACAGGAAGAGCTGCAGCTGCCCCACCTCCCTGCCCTCAGCCCTGTATTCTCACTTAATAATTTAAAGATCCTCGTGACATTTAAAGACCCCAAGACCCTTGGCTGGGGCTGAGACGGCTTGGTCTTGCAAATAACCACTCTCTGCGACACTGAAGAGTTTTGAGAGAGATCTGACACAGTCAAGTGCATAAGAGAAAAGAGGAAGAACCTAGACACACCTGGTGTTCGTACAGGGGTGCATTCGAAGCGTCGCTGTAGTTAAACATGAACATGTTGATGAAGTGGATGAGGATGCTCGGGGCTTTTCGGGACATGTGGACATCGTAGTGGCACCATTTGAAAATGATCATGAAAACCAAGTATCCGAACAGGCACAGCATAAAAATCATCTCGGGAATAAACTGCAGAATGATGTTGAGCGTTTGCCTGAAGTATCTGGGGGTGGAAAACACACACACACACACACAAGATGGAACATTGAGAAATATCAGTAACTAATTTTTCTCCCCGAAGCACAAAATGGTCACTGCATCCATCCATTCCCCTGGGAAGCAGCCGTCATGCACGGATGGAAGAGAAAGTGCTTGTGTACAAAAGAGTTGGGGTGAACCAAGGTCTAGAAGGTGAAGTCCAACAGAAAGGTCACGTTCACAGATAGTAGACAATCGAGCCTAGCTCATATCATACTTTCAAGGGCACAAAGACATCTAAGGGCGACTTGGCAGATTTCTCCTAAGATGCCTAGGACAGGGGTCAGCAAACTGCGGCTCTCATGCCAAAGAGAGCCCATCGACTGTCTTGGTACAGCCTGTAAGTTAAAAATGGTTTTCATATTTTAAAATTGCTGGTGAAAAAAAATCAAAAGAATAGTTTTTGACACATGAAGATCATATGAAATTCAAATTTCGGCATTCATAGTTTTATTGGGACAGTCACACTCATCCAATGAGGACAGTCTGAACTATCAATGGCGGCTTTCAAGCCGTGACACCAGAGTAGCCGTGACAGAGACTGGCTGGCCTGCAGAGCCAGAACATATACTTGGTGGCCCTTTCCAGAGAAAGTTTACTGACTCCTGGCCTAAGATACGGGGAGTCTCATGAGGCTAAGCAGGGTACCCCCAAGTTAAAATGTCAGAAAGGGCCCCCACGCCTTTTGTTCACTGCAAGAGCTGTCTGAGGGAAAAGGGCGATCCCACGATAAAATGGGGTGACGAGAGAGAGCTGAGGTCAGCCTGACATGCGATGGTGCCAAATACAGTCTAGTCCAGCAAATGCTTTCTGGAATTCTCATTGAACTTGCTGGCACTTGCGGGTAGGTGCTGGTACCAGTGCGGTGGTCATTAGGTTGCTCACTAAACGTTTCTCATTTTTCAAACGTAATCATACTTCTTTGGCCTTCCAAATCGGGGGTCACCATGTGACTGGCTCTGGCCGATGAAATGGGAACAGAAGTGACAGGTGTGATTCGGGGTGGAAGCTGAGGACTCAGTGTGTAACTGACCACTCTCCTCTGCCACAGCAACTGGCAGTATTGCGGCTGGCGACTGCCCATCGGCCCAGGTCCCAGTGTGAGGATGACAGGAGTGGAGCGCCTGAGGGGTCCGTGATGGACGTGTATCATAGTCTCAAGCCACTGAGATCTGGGGGCTGTTTGTTACCACACAATAACCTAACTCGTGCTGACTACCCAATCTCAGAGACGCTAAATACGCCCATGATCACACAGCTGTTGAGAGCTGGACCCAGGACTTAAACTTCTGATTCCAAACTCCGTACCAGTTCTGTGGCACCATGCTGCCTTCACCCGCCCCTCAACTACCTGGCCGGTGGGCTTTCAGCAACACCTACAAGCTGCCATGGCCACAGCAGGTGCTTCTGAACAGGCACATCTGAAGCTGTTTTCAAAGATTTATACCTTTAGTGTAAATAAGTGGGAGAAGATTTCCAGACATGGATCCTGACAGAAGGAAAGGAACAGACAGAACAACACTCATGGCCAGAGAAGTGAGGGGTGCTGCCAGGAGGAAGAAATTACAGCAGAGGGAATCCAGAATCTTGGCCAGAGTGAACTTACGTCTCCATTTGCCCACAGGTGGGAGCTAAGCCCTATATGGCACCAATGAAGGCCTTTCAGTTTGGGGACGGAAGGCGAGGAGCTGGGGGCTTGCCAGCCTCTTCGTGAACCCTCGAACAGATCTGAGGTGAAAGGTGCACTACCCCTTGAGAGGGTCAGCTGAGGAGAAACAGAGGTGCCCTGTCTGGCAAGCCAGCTTGTCCTGGCTCAAGCCAAGGGACACGGAAAAGCACTCCAGTAGAAAGTAAACTCACACGGAGGGAATGCAGGGTGAAGTGGTGGCTCTGTCACCATCCCTCGTCACTGAGTCAGACCGACAGGCAGAGAGTTAATCATAGCACTCACATGTGATTGAAAAGGCTCAGAATGACACCGAAAGCCATCTGGACAATTCCCAGGATGACCGACATCTTCATTTTATAGGAGTTCAAGAACGTCAGTTTGTTTGAAGCCAAGTTCCAAATCTGGATAGAAAGGTGACAAGAAATACATGAGGCCAGAATCTCAAGGTCGTGCTGGAGCTGGGGGCCACCGCACGACTGCCCCTGAGGAAGTCGTCTGGGAAGCACATTTTCAAATTTCAGTCCAGTTCAATTCATGCATTTTAAGCTCAGAAAGGGACCAAGTCCCTTTTAAACGCAACTCTCATGCCAAACGAGTCAGAACCATTAGTGCCACTCGTAAAATATCAAGTGGCTGAGAGGAAACTGGGGAGAAAGATACATGATTTTTCCCTTGTTCTAGGTGAAAAGAAATTCTGAGATATTATGGAGATCTCAAACTGGCCTCAGTTCCCTTAGCAAAGGTCTAGATCTCTGGCCCATGCATTTACTCAACAAATAATACTGCTGTCTGCTCTGGATTCCTACAGCGCTTCACATTACAAAGCGTTTTCCAGGCCCTTCTCAAGAAGCCACTCTTGTAGCCAATTTTTATTAGCACTATGAGTAAGACAGTCCCTGCCTTCTACAAGGTCTCTGTTTGCCAAACTTGCAAAGTCAGGGGAGCATGTGCCTGCCTGTCCCAAAGGAGACTGACAGCGATCGAGCACACAGAGTGGTTAGGTGGACGGTCAGGGCCTCGCACTGGTTAATGACGCCAGCCACTTACATCTTTCCTGCCCACGGAAATCTCAGACTCCTCCCTGCTTTCCAGTCCCCACCCCCATGCCAATGACCCAAGTCCCTGCCCCTACTTCTGACTCCTCTTGAACTTCAGGCACATCCCAAACTGCCCGCTGGACACATCTTGAGAGTTTGCTATGCTACATCGCAAAGGTAACCAAGCCACAGGGGTCACATGAATCGTCCCTTTGTCCAGCGTCCCCACGCTGCATACCCTCCCCCCATTGGTCACTCTGTAGCCGTCCTGCTTGTCAGATGGACTGTCATGATACCACAGTGCTTGCATTTGAGTCACGCTTACGTGACTCGCTAATGGCCCCAAAGCATAAGCGTAGTGATGCTGGCAATTCAGATACGCCAAAGAGAAGCCATAAAATGTTTCCTTTAAGCGAAAAGCTGAGTGCAGTACAATAAAATATTTTGAGAGACCAGTCACGTGACTTTTAATATGGTAGATTATTATAATTGTCCCCTTTTATTATTGTTGTTATTATTCTCTTACTGTGCCTAACTTATAAATTAGACTTTATCATTGGCGTGTACATACAGGAAAAAACATAGCATATATAGGGTTTGGTGCTATCTGTAGTTTCGGGCGCCCACTGGGGGTCTTGGCACGTATGCCCCATGAGGAAGAGTGGGCTACTGTGTAAATATTCCCATTTTACAGATAAGGGAATTTATCTTAATCTCAGCAAAATTAAGTTACTTACACACCTGGGAAGAAATAATATAATAGCAAATGGAGCATTTACCTCATTTATGCACCTGTTTTGGGGGTGTTACATGTAAAAATCATTTAATCTTCTGAGCAACCCTATAGGTTAAGGCTGTTATTATATCTATTTTATAGATGAGGAAAGAGAGACGCCTTGATGGGAACTTGCTCTAAATCACATAACGAGGATATAGAAAAGCCAAGATTTAAACACAGGCTGTCTGATTGCAAAGGGTGGGCTCAAAATGTTATGTTCACTTATTATAAAACATTTATAAACATCTTTAGAAAGACCTCTCAGCTCTAACAGCCAAATGTTTTGTATTTAATTCACAAGCAGTTGCTGTATATAGTCAATAAATGCAGCTGTGGGAATTTACATTATGTAAAAATCAAACCCTTTATTAAGATATGTAAGTGCTGAGGGGGTGGGAAAAAAAGATATGTAATTGCTAATATAGGCACAGAAATGTTCTGCTAAAAAGGTCATCACTGGGAAATAATAATAATCATCAGAAATAAAATGATCATTTATGTCATATTTGATAACAAATGACCAGAAATTTTTAAAAACCTAAGTGTTACTAGGGAAAAAATTAATTATATTCAACATCCCACCTTCTCTTCACCCTCACATTTTCCTTTCATTTTTGACTAGTGGGCAGGTAACAAAATTGCATGCAGAGTAGAAACTCTGGACCACTCAGATGTGAAACACGAAATACACTGTCCTCCCTTTGAAAGTGAGAGGCAGAGCTGGGTAGACAGGATTTGCCGATGAATTAGATGTGGGCTGTGACAGGAAGAGAGAGGACGGTAGATTCGATGCAAAGGAAGGCCAACCAGACCCCGAAACCACCGCCCTCTATACTCCCCCTCTGCCTGCCGGGTCATCCCGGAATTACCTGGACCAAAGATAAAGCCTGACAGTCTACAAAAATAACCTGCATTTGTTTTTAGCATTTTAAAAACCAGTTTGCAAGGACATAACCTCTTTTGATAAAACTTGGAATTCAAGTGCCCCTGAGCAGCAAGCATAAACAGATTCTGGGTGATGGCTTCTGTTTTATAAGCAGGGGAGGTGGGCACACGGTGGGAGGACCCAGAAAAACTGAAAAGGAGATGACTCACGCGATGGGAGGGGCCAAAGAACCGATGTTAGGGCCAGTACTGTCCACTCTCAACTGTCAACAACTAAAACTGAGGTCTCAGGTTCTCTCCCACAAACAGAGCTTAGAAGACATTTATGGACCACATCTGCCAAGTCCAGGGCTGACGGCTCACGCTCATTTGGAGCACAAGGCTGCCACCTGGTGGCGATATGCTCTGGGCCGTCACTTGTGAGTGGCTTTTCACGAAAATGTGTCTTCTGGAAATCCCTTCATATCTAAAGGCTGAGCGGTTAAGCACCTTTGTTTGGTTTGGCTCAAATCCAACTGAGATCGATCTAATAAATAAAAGTTAACACATGTCCTTTTTTAAAACTTGTATCAATTCTATGTAATAAAGCAAAAATGAAAGCAAACCCATACTTTTCTAGGAGAGACAGACGTGTTACCTACTGTAAGGAAATGCCAAAGTAGGGAACTTGATCGGGATGATAAATTGCTTATCTAATATGAACACTTTCCAGGCATCCAAGGGCCTTTTAAAGAAGCAACTGTTAACCATCCTGGTACACCTGATGGAGAAAGAGGCAGGTGTTTGGGGAATTGTCTGAAAATGACCCAGGAGCTGGGTAAAGGATGCCAGTAGGACAGTCACTTGAATCGGCAGCGGTGTGTCACAGAAACCCCCAGTCTGTTTATTCTATTTCAGCGTAAGCTTGTAGATTTGACAGGTCTTGGCACTTTCTTCCCCATCACCCAGAGGTCGCCTGAGCAAGACATTTAACTAATAAAGAAAACATTATTACCGGATCGATCCCAAAGGGGTATGGATTTCCAGAGTATACTCCTGGGACAGCCGGGTCCAGCTGTAAAAGTGGATTTGTTTCTATCACCTCCATACTACAGAGGGGGAGAAAGGGGAAAAAACAAAAAAAAAACAAAAAACAAAAAAAATGATCAACCCAAGGCGGGAAAAAAAGACTATAGAGCCATCAGTCACGAACTGCCCAGGCAATCAAAGTCTAAATATTGGTACCACTCATCAATTTTTTTTTTTCAGCTCATCAATTTGGCTCATTCAGTTCTTCCATGAATGGGTATTGAATACCTACTATGTGCTAAGAACCATCGTAGGTGCTGAGGCTACAGACATGACCGGCTAGCCCCCAAGGAGGTCACAGTCTGAGTTCCCAAAGTGCTCTCAGCCTGATGGGGTTCAGTAAAGAAAAAGTTATACTACATCAGGGTAAAAAAAAAAAAAAGGGTAGGAGCAAGGATGAAGGAGCCTGTAGGAAATAAATCCCAGCCCAGGGACAAGGCTGGAAATCCCGCCTGAGCGGATGCTGGAGGAGTGAACTGGCTTCCACACATAGACTCCAATCTCCGTGAAAGGGAGCTATCTGAAGGTGTGGTCCATCGAATGTCTTTAAATACATGTCCCATTTTTACCCAGAAGCACAAAACAGAGCACACACCTATAAAGGGAACCAAAAGTGAGTATCTGAAATGATGAGGAAGAGTGCTTGCAACTTGCACGGGCTGTCCAGACGCACACCCCTGCCATCCTGCAGCTGAGGTGCTGCTGGGTATTTGGTGTGGGGGTGGGAGGTGAGGGTGGGGGCGTTAAGAAGCCTCATAGTGCAGACCAGGCCAGGAATGTAGAGTCGGCCATCTCAGACCTAGACCCTGTCCCCACAGCATGCCTCAGGCCAAATGGTTGCGTTTAATTAGCAGAGACGTGTTTGTGTGTCAACAGAGCAGAAAGCCACCCCTGACCAGAGGGAACTGGCCAGGCATCCCCGGCCCAGTCTGCTGTTGAGCATAAACAATCTCACAGAACACCAACAACAGACAAGGCCACCCTGTGACTCTGATGGATCAAGACAAAAACAAGACCAGTCCACGGCCCTATCTGACACCAAAATAGGAACCTATCAACCTAAGGTCATTGTCCGAACCACAAAAATGAGCAAACATTCCCCTTGCCCTCCTAGAGGACAAATCCTCTAAGCCAAGGGTCCCCAACCCCCGGGCTATGGACTAGTACAAGTCTGTGGCCTGCTAGGAACCAGGCCGCACAGCGGGAGGTGAGCAGCGGGCAAGCGAGTGAAGCATCATCTGTATCTGCAGCCGCTCCCCACCACTAGCATCTCCGCCTCAGCTGCACCTCACATCATCGGGCGTTAGATTCTCATAGGAGCACCGGTCCTTGGTGTCAAAAGGTTAGGGACCACTGTTTTGAATGACACCTTCTTCTCCAGGAAGCCTGCTTTCATGGCCGCTTCCAGGATGCCAGTTTATACCTGCTCCACCTTTGTCTCCACAACAGTGCCTGGCGCTATGTGCTCCACGACACAGACTTACTCGAATTGAGTTTTCGAAGCTATTTCCATGCATTATAGTTACCAGCACGGTGACTGAGAAAGCGCCACAAGATCTCGCACTCCGGTGACAAAACAGAATTATCTGTTAAATTTGTAGGTGCGCCTCTGAGCAGAGCTACGCGTAGACTCACCTGGCCATGAAAACTGTCACCGAGGCCACCTGGATGGCCAGTGAGCGACCCATCTCTGTCTGTAAACTTACTTCCATGTGCCATTTCTGAACATGGGCTGGACACTCCAAGAAGAGCCGAAGATGTTGAAAGCCTTGGAGAAGCAGTCGTTGTAAATCAAACCCGTGTAAATGGAGAAGATACCCATGAGCAGGATGAGATAGCGCCCGTTGAAGAAAGTGTTCCAGATCTGGCCTCGGGGAGACACGGAGAATGACTATCAGCGAGCTCGGACCCAGGCCCTGGGGAAGTCAGTCTCCGACACTACGGCAAGGCATGTGGGCCCCGCTCAGGGGCCACGTGACGGGGCAGACATCGGAGGGATCCAGGTGGCAAGAGCACACACGTCGTGACTTTCCTGAGCTTCTACAGGTGAATCGGAAATGTCCCAGAATGGTAGTTGTTATTGTGGAGACAAAACATATAAGCCTCATATTCTTTAATTCTGCCTTGGTTAGAAAACGTAACTAAAGCAGAAACTGAGAAAGGACTCGGAAGTGGGTGCTGCCGTCCCTGGCACTTCCGAGAGTCAAGCGTTGGGCTGGCCTCATATAGCTGCTAAATTGTACGGCAGATCAAATCTCTACTCATTTTGGGTCTTCGTTACAAAGTACACCCACTGAGAAGACAGAGCATCCTCCTCTCACACTGGACGAAGGGCAGCAATCATTCTCAGAACAGCTGGAGTGTAACTTGGAGACTATGAATATGTATTACAGGAAACCACATCTACTAAAATGCTTGACGTGAAAAACTATATTGGCCACAGGCTGATTTTTCCACTAACCTTGCTTATAATTAACTCACTATGATATCACTGAACCAGCTCTGGTTAAGTCAGCCTGTGAAAAAAGATTGTAGATATTCTTAAAATTCAGAACATAGCTAACGGCGTGTTTCCACTTTGTAAAATGTGTTAGCAGTGGACAGAAAGTCACGCGCGCTGAGTAACTTTGAAGCAATGCAGAGTCTTGGGCTGTCCCAACCTTCACAGCACTCTGCGGGAGACTTCAAAGAAGGGGTAGAAACTTCACATGGAAAAGTGAAGACAGGCATTCAGGATTTCTCAGAGTTTCGCAAGAACACTGATCGTGGGCTTGCGGGAAGAGGAATTTCTCTGCCATGAAAAAGTAGTTGTGATACTTAAAGTGAAAAAAAGGAAGCTACAAATATATATGCATTATTAGATTCCAAGTTTTGAAAAGTATATATTTAGTGATAAGTGCAGAGAAAAAAACTGGAAATATAACACGAAAACATTAATCGTGATTTTTCTCTGCGTAGATTGCTGTATTTTCCCAGTGTTTACAATGAACCTATATTGCTTTTATAACCAAAGAAAAAAATAAATGTTAGGGGAAAAAAAAAAAAGATCAATATTTTATCAAGAAATGTACAAAAAAACAAAAATGCTTAAAAGAACTGCACCAAACCATCCAAAGGACTTACCCTTGGCCAAGAGTTTTTATGTTGAATTTTGGCCCTTTTTTTCTGTCTTTCCTTTCCTTTTGATAAAAACGTGTTATTTTCATGGCGTCAACATCACAAACATGCTTAATATTCTACTTATAACTTCAGGGAAACGAGGGGATGCTTGATGGACACACTCACCTCATTGTCCGTCTTCTGGGAGAGCAGACGTTTCTCGTTAAGGACCATCCAAAGGGCAGCCAGGAGCATCACGGTCCCGTGACCACAGTCTCCAAACATCACGGCAAACAGGAAGGGGAAAGTGATGATGGTGTAGGGAGCTGCAGAGGTGAGACCCACACGCCCTGAGTTTTCCCAGCGACGCTAAAGATTTCCCTATCTCGCGCCTCGATCCAGGTGCTGGCTCCCTTCCTTCCGAGTCCGTCTTCTCTCAGCATCCCCACCCCTGACACCTGCTTAGCTCCCACCGACATTAGCTCATCAACCAGTAAATATTATCACTCCTCACTTTACAGATGAGCTGAGTTTGGGAGCAGTTCAGTGACTTGCTCAAGATCACAAAGTTTAGGGGGCTTTCAATCAGTTTTTTAAGCTCTTTCCACCACTATCTTTTGTCTGTTTCTCCACCATTCACAGGCACCACGTACCTCCAGTAGTTACTCACAGGACCCTGAACCTATGGGGACCCTGCACTATGAGTCACAAGTTGGACTGGGACTCGGGCTGGTCTACTCCTTTATTTTATAAACCAGGCTACCAACATCACACCGTTTATGTCACTAAGAATCCAGTCTTCTGACTCCAAGTTCTACATGCTCTCAACTCCCACAGAACCACAGGCCCTGACGATGCCTAGAGATGATGCTTATTAAATTGGTAAGGAAACGAGAACAGAATTTGGCTGTCTGACAAGGCTACAATTTACTTGACAAAGAACAAATCTTTTTACTCATTGACCTTTACAGAAGATAATGCAGAGCATTAGGAAACTGAGTAAGATCTTAGGAAAGTCGCGGTTTTAAGCAATTCACCTCCTAGGCCACCGCAGGGATAAATCTTACACAATTTTTATGTTCAGGCTGCTCGGGTGTGCAACGTATCAGATCCTGACCTGGGTTTATCTCCCGGTAATTGCCAACGCCATATGCGTCGACGATATTCTGGAAGCCAGCTGTGAATTTATTGGTCCTGTTGAATGTGGGAGGAGCTGTTGTAGATTGCACCGCTGTCAGGATGGGGGCCATGGAGGAGCCACTTAATTCCTGCAAAAAGGACATGTGACAAAAATAAGGAAGAGAGCTTTGGGCTGGGTATCGGCCCACGGATCACAGTGCAACTCCCGCCGTGCCTGATGGGGTGAAGTTGGGACAATTTCTTGACCTGAGACTCATGATCTCTCGATAATAGCTTCCTAATACCTATCTTACAGGAAAGGTGTCAAGAGACAGTGACCTTTCTGATTCCCTGGCCATTTCCATTTCCATCCTCAGTTCCAAGCCTCTGCTCTTCCTTTCCCTCCACTTACTCCCGCAAGCGTTCATGCACTTTCCTAATTGCACCCCCTATCTTACAAATGGCCTTGACCCTCTCCCCAATTTCGATTCTTTTCTAATGGCTCGCCTAGGCTTTCGAACTTTCACGTAATCTCAGCAACGCCACGTCATCCGGGAGCCTAGAAATGAACTCGTCAGCCCACCCCAGCGCCGAGTCCTCCCCCGAGCTCCGTGCTCCTCCTGCCGGCTCCATTCTCCAAATTCCCGACACCGTGAAATCAGCAGCCTTGTCCCTTCTCCTGATCCAATCGACCTCCACATCTTGCCAACTGTGCCTTTCAAATCCTTCTTCTCCTTCCCACGCGACAGGCCACGTCCCGGCCGCCTCCCGAGCCCCAAGCCTCTCCACCTTCCTCTGGTCTCTTAACCCTCTGCGTTTATTTATTTTACACTCCAGACTGCACAATCCTTCTTTTCATAAAGCAAAACAAACAGAAAGCACTGCTTTAGCCTTGACACCCCCTCTCTTATCTAAAGAAGGAAACCAGACCTCTCTAGTCTTGCAGTCAAGACTCCTTTACAATGTTGACTTGGGCCTCCACGCACACCTTCGCCCCCACTGCTTCTCCATGGGGATCGGCCACCTCCACACGTTTGCCCAAGCACTCGCCGCTCCCCGAGCTCAGCCCCCACACGCCCTCTGGTCACCCCAGTCTCCAGCAGCGCTTGGCACCTGCACACTCGGGGGACTCGGCACCAGCTACGCGAGTGCTCGCCAGTCCCCCTAACGATGCCAGGAGCTGGGTGTCACGAGCCCACGTCGCAGATGAGGGAAACTGAGGGATGGAGAAGTTAGGTGACTTCCCCGAGGGGGCACGGCAAGCAGCAGAGTTCCTTAGCCTGTTACTGTGTATCATTCGTGGACGTGATCGCGGCCTCCTGGAAGGCCAGGGCTCTGGCTTCTCCCTTTTTCTTTTTAACATGCCCGCAGCGGCCGGCACGCCTGGCACAGTGTATTTTTTTTTTTTTTTTTTTTTTTTTTTTTTTTTTGCTTATTGGTGATAATAACATCTATCCCTCTGCACCTGCCTCCTCATCTCCTACCTGCTTAGAGCCTCCACTCCCATCTGGGGAAATGCCTTCGTTTTTCTGAGGATGAAGAAACTGGAGAAACAGCCCTGAGTGGCCTTGGAGAAGTGTGACCCCTTTGTGATTCCGTTCAGTTAAATCCTTGCATTGGGACAACTCCCCACGCCCACTGCAGCAAAGTGCTTCCAAAATGCAACTGGATCTCATCCCCCAGCACAGGAATAAAAGCGGACCCCTGACGTCAGCTATCTGGTCCCTGGGGATCTGCCCTGCAGCCTCTCCCTGCCCTGTTTCCCATTCCTTACACCCGCTGCAGCCTCTCTCCAGCCACTGGCCTGTGGGTGAGTCCGCACAGCACCCTCCGCCCCACCTCGCGCATCACTTCCTCCAGGGAGCGCCCCGCCTTCCCAGGCTGGGTGAAACGCTTCTTCTAAGTGTCCCATCTGGACAGTTAGATTGGGCCATGATGTGGGGACATTCAGATCCTGCCTCCTGGCTACAGGATCACGGTCGAGTTACTTCTGCCCTCTGTGCCTCAGTTTCCTCATCTGTACGAAGGGGATCAAGTCAGCTCCCATCTCCTAGTCCCATGCCACCTCGAGGCCTTTACCTTCAGACCCTTCGCCCTGAAAGCTCTTCCTCCCCACCCAGCCCAATCTTCCCATGACATTGAGAGAAGCCTGCTCTGGTGCCACCTGTCCAGAGGGGCCCCCTCCCTAGCGACAGCCCTGCAACAGTATTATAAGATCTAAAAGTTCAAGTGCTGCCTCGACCTCTTTGAGTCTTACAGGGCCCTGAAGGCCCAGCCATGAGTTCCTCTGGTCTCGCCAGATATGTCCCCCACTTAGCAAGCCAGGCTCCCCACCCAGCCAGTCCTCCCATCGGGCAGACCAGCTGCTCACTGCCTAGTCTTCAACCCAATAAGCTTCAACTCCCTGCCACCCCAGAACATTATTCAACGAAGCTAATCACATCCTTCCATGGAAACCAGGGGTCACCCCACCCCCTTGTCACTAAAAGGCCGACCTCCCATAAGCCCTGCTGGTTCATTCTTCTCCCAAGTGCAGGTCCTGACTGCGACCTCCCTGTGGCATGCGGTGGCCACCTCCCCTGGGCTATGAGCCTTTGTGACTAATAAACTGCTGCCAACTTCATCTGTCCAGAGTGAGGTGTCGTATGTTTGGCCATCTTGCACTATTTAGGGCAAAGGGTCCCTTCGTCACCAAAGCAGTGAATAGGTGATCAGAACAAGCCCCTACTCCCCCCACACACACCCATCACCATCCCCCACTTCACTTCCTGCTCACCACGTACCACGGCCTGAAATTATATTCGTGATGGACGTGCTTACTATCTGTCTCCCTTTCCAGAAAGTCTATCAAAGCAGCACGGCCCTGGGTCAATCCCGGTACAGTGACTATCTGAGGGGATGAATGGGGGGAGCCGGGAGAGTGAAATCAGGTACGTGGCGCTTAACACAGCTGCTGGCACACGGTGAGGCACCTACTCTTTCTGGCCGTTATCACAGGGGCCTGGCTGTCTTTCCAGATAGACTGTGACCTTTACGAGATACAAGATGGTACCTAGTCACACCGAACTGCGGTAGCGACAGCCATAACTAGCAGAGTGACTGGCACATCCGTGTTCAACACACACTCGCTGAAGATGAAAGAAACGGAGAATGATCGTCAGACACCAAGAAGAAATGGAGCTTCTGATACGTGCCCTAGCACTGGGCTAAGAACTGAAGAAACAAAGATGGAGGAGACAATCCTGCCAGCAAGCCACCGGTGGCATCCGCGTGACTTAGGGGGCTGCCGGGGCTGGACGGGACTCACCTCCCCCCTTCCCTGCCCCGCCTGCTACTCACCATGCCCTGCTCTAACGCCCTCTTGATGCGCCCGGCGTCTGCCACGGGGAACCAAATCTCGGCGATGACACACTGCTGGGTGACGTCGATGTTGCACATGTTCAGGGTGTGGTAAATGGCCTTCATCTTCTGCACCTTGACGACCCAGGAGTGCCAGCTGGCCGCCGCTTCCTGCAAGAGCCTCTGACGGTGAGACTCGGTTTGTGTTATGACCTGGGCAAAAGACAGCACATAGGAAAACAAGGAACACCGGTGGAGATGCCTGGCGAGGAGGCAAAAATAGGGGTTCGTCAGCCATCGCGCCTCCTCTGCCCTGGGCCCTGCCCTCTGGCCTGCAGCTCTCACAGGGTAATTCTCATGAGCAGTTTATCTCCCCTGCTAGGGTTCAAACCCTGAGGCAAAGATCGTATCCTCCGTGCCTTCTGCATGCCTGCCAGTACTATTGCTATGTGTGTGATCCGTCCAGTCCTAATCTTCGGTAGCTGTTAAGGGTTCTTATTCGGAATCAGGGTCTTCGCAGGGTGGGCCTACTCCAACATGACTGGCGTCCTTCTAAGAAATCGGGACACCGAGGCACACAGGGAGGAACGCCCCATGGCAGAGACGGGAACGACACATCTACAAACCAAGGAGCACCCATAACTGCCAACGGAGGCCCAGACGCTGCCACGGACCGGGTGGCTGATGAACAACAGACGTTTGTTTCTCACGGTTCCGGAGGCTGGAAGTCTGAGACCCATCGGGGTGGCAGCATGGCCGGGTGAGGGCCGTCTTCCGGCTGCAGACTTCAAATTCTGTCTTCACAGGGCAGAAGCGGAGGTGAGCTCCCTGGGGCTCCTTTTATTAGGGTACTGATTCCACTCATAAAGGCTCTGCCCTCATGACCTGATCACCTCTCACACGGAATGTGCTTAATGGAGTTCATCTTTGTTCTGGTGACACAATAGAGTAACCTTTTCAGTAACCTTTGCACAGGGCTACCTAGGTCATACTACGCATAAGCCTAAGGTCAGCAAAACTTTTCTATTCCCCTCATCAAGTATTTGGGGGAAAGGGCCTCCAGGCAAACTGCCTCAGGGAAATATAGTCCCCTTGACAAGTGACAAAGAGGGAGGAGAGAAGACTAAAGAAATCAAAGACATTTTTCTGGGGTGGTAAAGGTGTCTGTTACAGCCTAAGGGTTGAAACATATACACACCTAATTTCTAATGACACTCATTAGAGATTTAGAACTGTGCTGACCCATACGCCAGCCACGTGGAGGCACTGCAATTTAAATGAAAATTAATAAAGTAAAAACCAAGTTTTCTCAGGTGCACCAGCCATGTTCCAAGCGCTAACGTGGCTCAAGGCTGTCGCACTGGACTCACAGGTTACATAATACTCTCGCCAACACAGAAAGTTCTACTGGACAGCGCGGATCTAGAATATACAATCTGATGTCAGTCCAGCTGCTTTCAGTGATTATTTTCAAAGCTTACTGGAGAAAGTGTTCTAATCATATATAAGAAATGAGTGCCACCCCAGAGTGATGACAGACTTTACAAAAGGATATGAATCCGGGATGTGTTCACATGGTGAAAATAGACTCACTGTTTTTACAGAATTGGTTGGCTCAAACAACTTGGCAATTCGGCAGAAAGAGAGTCGGTCAGACTGGTTGCTCAACTTAATTAGTTGTCTTATAAAGCAGGGCTGGCGATAAAGGGTTTTTATCGGACTGGGGTGGCCTAGGGCTGTGGTCAGTTCTAACCCCGGGCAAAGCATTACTGACGTGCAGAACCGTCATCTCTAGCCCATGGAACAGTTTCCTAATTATGAAATCTTCTGCAGGAAGAGCTGGAAGAGCATAGCAAACACCCCAGCCAGCTTTCCAGCACGGGCTCCCGAGGGTGGGGACTTATGTGGCAATGGCAGAGGTGCACCCCACTCAGATCGTGCTCCCGAACGCCTCACTCACGGTGGCTAAATCTTCTAGCCTCATCTTGACACCATCCAGCATCTCTCTGCGCTCCACCGCAGGCTCTGGGCAGGGGTATATGGTGGCTCGAAACCTGTGTTTAATGCATTCCAAAGGGACATACGTGGTTATTGCTGAAAAGCATTCTGCACGTCCTCTTCTGCTAAGCCACCATCTGATGGCTTTGGTGAGGTGGCCACCTTTTCCTAGAATAACTCTCTCCTTGGCCATCAGAAAATGAACCCCCATCATGAGGGTTACCAATGCAATGTGAATTAAAGCTGTGATTCTACTATATGAATGAGCTTCATTCAAACCATAAAGCCTGTGAGCTATTACGTAAATAAGGCTGCAGGCTTAACTTGTCCCTTCTTCTCTCTCGGAATTTATTAATGTATTAATGTCTTTCTTTACTGAGTAATTTCTGCTTCTAAGTGGCTGGATGTAAGAAGATACTGTAACATCAGCAACAACTTAGCATGTGGTTTGCCTGTGAGCAAGAATAAACTGAAATGGTTAAAATGTCTACTTTTAGTTACCTTTAAATTTTGCTTATTCAAGTCCTCTGTTCCTATTCCTGCAGCTATTAAAAGTCGGTTTCATTTTTAACACTACCTTGTCAAATGTGGGAAAGTCATTCTAAACCCCAGACCTCAAAGAAGCCCTGCTCCCGTCATGAATTTTGCACTGTTCACCTCTTCATCTATTTATCTAATCCTGACCCAAATCGCTGACGAAAGAGCCATTAATAGTCTCTCTTACCCCTCACAGATCTTCTTGATTTTCTGTCTGAGCTGCTCTCCTTGATAAAATATGATGAACATATTCTTTTTAATTTCTTCTTTCTGGAAAACCAGAACAAGTTAAAAAAATTAATTTTTCTTTCTAGTTCGCATAGAATGGAAATGTAAAGTTCTCAAGTTTTAAAAAAAACACATAAAATTTAAAGTCAGAAAACTTCAACTTCTCCCAGTTGATCTGAGTGTCATAATTCATTACGGTCGAGGGCAAGGCCGCTGAGGCAGGCTGCACGGGGCCTTCAGGGAGGGCAACGCAGCCTCAAAGTGATGATTCTACTGTTGGCCACACTAGTTGGATCACAGCTGGGCTTTGTATTCAGCTCTAAGCCCTATACTTAAGAGATGTTATTAATACACAAGGAAACATCCAGAAGAGAGAAAACATTCAGAAAAGAGGGACCAGGATAGTGCAAGGCTTTAAATGGAAACAGCTGACCTAGCTCACCAGCACCAACTCACAGGCATCTACATTTCAGGGGCGAGTAGATGTTTGATATTTAACAAAAGGTAAAGCCGATAATGTTTGACTTGCCATTACCATGCGTCCATAAGAACACTGATTAAAATGCCTCTGGAAAGTCTACGTCTGACGAATCACGAGAAAGGGAGAATATATATTTCATAAGTAGATAGGAACATGTTGCACTTTTCACTAAGCAAAGAAATGTGCCACTTTGCTCTTATTTAGTTTGGGGTGGGGGTAGTAAAGGTGGAATTACGAAGCCTGTTGGAAATTTTACAATAAATCCAACAAACTCATCGCTACTTCTCAGGGCACTGCAATCAGGTACAACCCCACTGAAAAGCCATTTGTCAGAACTCATCGAGTGTCATGAAAACGCCCTCACCTTTTATGTAAGCAATCTTATCTCCTCGAATTCCTACTTTATTTTAAATTTTATTTCTTGTAACTATGAAGTTGTTTCCTACGAACTAAAGCTTAAAATTAATTTTTGCTAACCTCTATTCTGAAAAAGATGATGACTTTTAGAAATAAGCCTAGCTTCTGGGAATTTAAGCATAAGTGGATGTAAATACCAACTGGAAGGGTAGAGAGGAAGCAAAACTCTATATAAATAATTGCAATAAATTTGTGGCACTCAGTGACGAGTGCCCTCAAAATCCTTGTTCCTAGTGTGAGGTTTGGTGACCGCTGGCATCAGCAAACCTGTTAAAAACGCAGATTCTCAGGCCCCAGCGCAGACCCACTGAATCAGAATTTGCATTTTAACTAGACTCCCAGGGCACTCATGTTCACGTGGGCACTGAAGCTTAATCCCAAAGTTCCTAGTTTTTTGTAATTAAGATGCATATGCTGTCTCGTGAACATAAGTTTCTAGAAACAAGTACAGCTAAGTTTCTTGAAGGAATGAGGCGTTAATAATAGTCCTTAAATTGACCTTTCGAAGGTATAAAAGAAAAAGGAAAAAAAGAAATAGACGTTAGCTTCACAGAACTAGAGACTGTGTATGAGAGACCCAAACTTCTGTGGTCAGGGTGACAGGACGTTTAAGAGACAGCTTTCGGCAGCCTGAGATACCCACTGTGACCGGGTCCTCCAGAACCGTGTCCATCTCACTAAACTTCAAGTAGATGTTTCCTCGGCAAACTCGCCACAGCAGCCTCTCAAAGGAAGCCATCCTCTCCCTGTTTACCACGCCGGCCGTGAACCTAGTGTGAACAGTCAGAGGAGGAGACGTGACTGAGGCACAGGGAGCCGGGGTTTGGGGTGCGGGGAGGGAACGGGGAGAAGACCCTACAAGATGTGAAGAAGTATAACCGGAAGAGGAAGGACCACTTCCCTTTGTGCAGGAGGGGATGACACAGCTGTAGCGGGCAAGGGTCACAGTGCCACTCTGCATCCCAGCCCCAACTTGCCTCCAGTCCCTGTGACCACCTGTTTGCTTTGACATGTTGAGGTTTCCTTATCCCAAAGCTACAGATTCAATGCTTTGCAATTAAAAATCTGATAGACCATTCACTATTGCATTTACAGCTGAAGAGAGCAAATGTTCAAAATGCTCAGCAGTGGGCTCTGTGCATTTTTATAAAGGGTGTACTAAGAATAAAACACACACATGGATGTCTATACATCTCCCTGTTTATCATCATGCGGGTATCTAGATAATTTCTGGCCCAAACCTTACATATTAACCTTATGGTGGTCAGCTCCGTGGGTCTATTAGCTTAAATATACATTGATCCCGTGTTACCTTTTGATCAAGTATTTTCAATAAATATTTTCTCTCCACTTCAAATTCAATGCCTAGAGCTTGAGGTAGCAGGCTCTCAAGTATCTATGGGTTATAATACTAGAATTCCGAAACTCACCACTTTGATCAATTCATCATTTTTACTTAGACACCAAATGAAATCCCACCATTTGGAACCACCACACAATTTGACGGGTATAAACACAGCATATTACCATTACTCACGAATGACCTGATTACATAACTATCTCATTTCTAATTACACTTCAAACTCTAGATCTGTTTTATTATCAAATCAATATTTCAAAGTTAAAAAGAAAACAAAATCTGTACCCCCTAGCCTTGTTCCAAAGCCAGGGAACAGTTGAGAAAACCCATCTAAACAATATCCCCACATCTTTCCCTGGTAGAGACAGACAGTGCAAACAGTGCACTCCTCAGGCTCAGGGACCTTAGTGTCACCATTATCGAGAAGGTGACACTATCTGCAATCCAAGAACTCAATAAGGTTACACTTGGGTTTAGTACTGTGTGGAGGCCTTATATTCATGTGAAATAGTCTTCATTCCAGAGGCTATTTGTTTGTTGGTTTAGTACTGTGTGGAGGCCTTATATTCATGTGATATATTCATGTGAAAAATTCCAGAGGCTATTTGTTTGTTTGTTTGTTCGTTCGTTCGTTCGTTCGTTCGTTCGTTCGTTCATTCATTCATTCATTCAGAAAGTCTACCAAATGCCAGGCACTGTGTTACGGACCAGGGATACTAACCCCAGCTTTCCAGCCATGTACGCGGGCAGAGCTCTTAATTCCAGGAGACCAGAGGTGTCTTCAGTAAAGAAGTCATCAGGTAAACTGGTTTCCGTCTGAAAGTCGAACAACCACTATTTTCACTTAAATGTATTTGAATTATCTTAAAAGCATCCCACACACAAGGATTGTTTTTTTTTCCCCTTGTTTTTAATGAAGCTTTAATTTTCTATAAATAGTTAACGAAATTCAGAAAGTAGAGTGCTCCTTGCAGGATTAAAAGGCTTCCCCAATCTCCTCCTACAAAGACCCAAAATTTTGCTCAAACTAACTGTTCTGCTTTGTTCTGACTTCTTCTCCTGTCTGGGCCATCTGGAGCACATACTTTTTAATGAACATCATAATATGTTTGCATTCAATTCAACCAGCACCACAGTATTCCACCCAGAATACTCTCCTGTTCACCAGTGGTCTAGCCATGGGACAGAAACAGAGTGATTTGTTCCTATTCCAAACCAGCCAGTTTTCAAAATTGAAATTTGAGGCTCTGGCAGGAAAGGGCTCTTTACTAAATAGTCCCCAAATAATGACCTCGAAGAAGTCCTGGGTTTTCTTCAGGAGATATTTGAGTTCAGTCAGTTCTAGAAAGCTTTTCTTCAAGGCTTGCTGGTTCTGGTTGGCTTCCTGTAACTCTCCTTCCAGTTTTTCTAGAACAGTCTAGGCAGGAGGGAGAAAGAAGGTCAGCCAGGCAGAGAGTGCTGTGACATTTACTGTACGTTAACCACAATAGATAACTAAATATCAAAGAAATGTTCGGTCCATCGTAATGATGAAGTCGAGTGGCCCGTTCAGTCATAAACAACATGATTGTAGAACTATAAGCCAGAACCACATCCACACACACTCTCTCTGAGTGCCATCATCAAATGCGGGGGATTATAAACCCCGCTGTGGTAATGAAAATGGCAGCCTCAAGAAGAAGCCAAGGCATTTTGGCAAATTGCATGTGTCTCCCCCATTTAAAACACTAAAAAGGGAAGCCGGAGTGAATTTATGTGTTGAGAATTCCTTCTGCCGCAAACACATTGTAATGATGAATAAAAACAAACTAACAAACAGAAAAACTAGTGTCACCTCCCCCAAACAATCACCAGTTCTGGGCTGGGATCTGGAGAGCCAGGTACAAGCAAGTGAAAAAAGAAGACAGAGATGGGTAGACACTGAAGGCAAGAAGACAGAAATAAGGGAAAAACCAATCTCCCTTCCAAAATAAGCGTACGAAGAGAATAAGGCTCACAGAGAAATCTAATGATCAGAAAAATTACCAGCAAAATCAACAGTCAGAACACAAAATCACATGGGGTGAAATTACTTCTATAGAATAGTCTGCAAAAGAGTTTGAAGTTTTTAAGGAACATTCAAAGAGATAAATGAAGGCATTATTGCCACTAAAAGAAAAATAAGAAATTATTAAACATATATGTTCTAAAATGAAAGAACAGATAACTATAAAAAGAGAACTACTTAGAAATCTTGGCAATATAAAATAAAGCTATTAAAATTCAAAATCCAACAGATGAGATCAACTCTATACTGGACACAATGTATGAAAGCAAATTGAGATTTGGCAAATAATTTTAAAATATAAAAGCTCGCTCCTCATTTATCCAAATGTCCGTCAACAATAGAATGAACAAAGTGTGGTACATTAAATCAAAGGAACACTACCCAGCAGTGAAAATGAATTAATTTCAGAAACACGAAACAACATGGTGTCTTAAAAAATAAAACGATGAAAGAAAACAGCAAATTGCAAGAGCATAAAGCATATGGCTCCATTTATATAAAAATTTTAAGCATGCAAAGCTAAGCCCTAAGCTATTTTGAAGACTAAATATGTGATAAAACGATGAAGAAACAAGGAAAAGTACTAAATTCAGGGTAGTAATTATCTCCAAGGGTGGAAGGGAAAAGAGGGGTGGAGCCAAAGGGGAGCAGTGGGGCTCGAGGGGAGGGGTGGGGCACACGGAGAGCTTCAAGAGCCCCACTGCAGTCACCTTTCATCTCACACAAGGTGGTAGGTAGCACCTGGAGTTTGCTGTATCATTCACTAGCCTTTACACCTTACATGTTTTTTCTAAAAATTCTACCATATCAATTCGATATGTAATAAAAACAATTTTAAATAAATCCATACTTAAAAAATTGTAGTGAAACTACAGAACAAAGAAAAAATCTTAAAGGCTATCAGGGCAGAGAGAGAGAGAGAGAGAGAGAGAGAGAGAGAGAGAGAACGAACCACGAAGGAATGATCACTGAGCCAGCAGATGTTACAGAAAAAATTTACTAAGTGTATATCTTGAGATATAAGCATAACTATTATCTATAGCTCTTAAACCAAGAGAAGAGGGGAGAAGTTTGAAGGATATTACAGAAGGGTACGAGAGGAGAGAGAGAAGGAAAAGAAAAAAAAAAGGAATGGTATACCAGGAAGTCAGTAAATCGGTAATCACAATAAATGAAAATGGATTAAGGTCATCTACTAAAAGACAGAGATTATCACACTAGATTTCTTTTTAATCTATCTTAAAAAAAAAAAAACACACCCTTAACCAAAGAGATTAAAAAATAAAAATGATACCCATGAAAATGTTAGTTTCCTTTCCCCCAAAAAAGCATATTAAGATCAGGTGAATTTGAATATTGAACATTTTTATTGATGGAAAATTTCAAATATAAGTGGAGAGAACGATGTAATGACCCTCATACACTCATCACTCGGCTTCAACTGCATCCCATTCCCTCCCCTCGCAGAGATAATCACTACCTTGAATTTTAAACGCAGTGGCACAATGTTGGGGGGAAAACCCAAATCCTCATTTCTCACCCATTTGTTCTATCCACTAAATGATTCCAATAAAAATAATGCATTAAAAGTATTCTGGAGAACAGTGCAATCTCTAAGAAGCAGTTTACAATATGATAGCAAATGTGAAAAATAGAAAACTATAACGTATTTTACGGGAGATGTATTTATATAAAAATATAGCTGATAAGAATAAAGCCTGAAAACAAAAAAGTTAAGGCAGTTTTGGCTGAGATGGTGATTTGTAAATCCTTTTTTCTGAATATTTCCTCTAGGATGATTATGAAAGCCTCTTTAGAAATTCTACAAGATAAGGGCCTGAAGTCACTAGTGTACTCTTATCAGAAGGATTCCCCTGCCTAGGAAGGTTGGAGAAAAAGCCAGATCAGTTCCATCAATCAGTGAATCCCTGTGATCAATAGTCAGATAGATGTTACTCTCAGAGCCCATGCTGTTTTAATTTCATCTTTACAATAGATAATATCCAGCAGGAAAATACTGAGTATAGGCTATTGGCACACATCTGATTGCCCCTTACCTAACTGGTCATTGCTACAATATATAGAGGGTAGAAAATTCCAAAGTCATTGGATGAACCAATTTTTTTAGGGTAGTATCTGAAACATAACCAACTCAACTTGTAAACAAAAACACTTGTTACAGGTTTAACAAAATCAAGAAAGTCTCTGTGCTTGCCAAGTTTCAATGTAATATCAAAGAACAGCCACAATTATTTTAAAAGGCTGTTAAAATACTCCACCCTTTTCCAACTACATATCTGTGCAAGGCCGAATTGAGAATATATTGCAAGAGATTCAAAGCAGAGTAGATGTGAGACGCCAGTCTTCCATCAAGCCATGCATTTAAGAAATGTGCAAACCATGCCTTTCTTTTCACTAAAGTTTTTGTCTTGAAAATTATTTTTCATTTTTAAAAGTTAACATGTAATGAGATATTACTATTTTTAAAGGAATCAATATTTTACACTTTTTTAGTTTTAGTTCCTGATGCTGTAACTGTCAGTAAATACAACCCACATCAATAAACATAAATAATGTTTAAGAGTATAAAGGTGTCTGAGATCAAGAAGCTTCAGAACCATTGAATTACAGGCTAAGTTATGAAAATATAATACTTGAGAAACTAAGAAATGATGTGTCATGGCGTGTGGTCAGAGAATGCTTTGTGGAATGGGTGGGCATGAGGTCCAGCATGAACTACGGCATGGAGCTGAGAAATGAACCTGAGGCAAGCAGAGAACCGCCAAGGGTCCAGCCCATGGAGAGTGGAGGACTCGAGAGGTGGGATGCAGCTGGGAAGAGCAGGCTTTGATGGCCAGGTGAGACCTGGCGTAGGTGAGAAGGAAACCAGCATACCTTCCTGAGCAGGGAAGTGGCAAGATAATGCAAAACCACGGCGAAAAATTAGGCTGGTGAGAGGAGGCAGAATAGATTGAAATCGTTAAGAAGAAAGTTGGAAAACCCAGTCAACTTCTGCCAAAACTCAGGAATGAGACGAGAGAGAGAAAGCATAAGCCAGAATGACATCTCGGTTCTCGAGAACACGGCTAGGTGATGAAGAAGAGGCAGGGGACGATGGTGGGTGGGAGCTGCTAGTTAAGGGCTGGTACTAGAAGACTAGCGATGAGACTGAAATTGGACATGACGCTACGGAGATCCTACGCATAGCCTTTTTGTTAGAAACTCTCTCTCAACATATCCAGGGTTTAACATGACAAGATCTGAAACAGTTGCTAGGGAAGTTGCCAGGCTCGGATCTGTGTTAAGAGTATCTAGATGAGGAAGACTAATGGCTACAAAATTTCAAGAATTTTAAGTTATCTTAAAAGAAAATAAAGACAAACCCAGCCAGAGATGAGGTTAAGCTCAGTGAAGCCCTCCTCACCATCTGCCCACCTCCCTGCCTCCTCTGAGCATTAAAAACTTCAATTTTGGGGGGTGGTTTCAGTCAAGATGGCAGAGTATAATACTGCATATCAACTGTAATCGAAAAAAATTGTTTTAAACGCTCCAATATTTTTTTAAATCGGGATCAGATCTACAGAGCCTTCCACGCTCTGCTGTCTTCTGACAGCCTCTCCCGCCGCCTCACCCCTCCCTCCTCTCTCCATCACCTGCTCTAGAAGCTTCTAGAGGGCATGGCCATGTTTTATTTCTATCTAAGGTGCCTGGTGCATGAGAGGAACTCAGTGTTTTATAAAAGGAGGTAGAAAGGGGAAAGAGAGAGAAAGAGGATCCCACTGGCCATAATGTCCCTGGCTAAAGAAAGTTGCCTGTCTTCTCACAGCTGATCTCAGAAGCCAATCTGAGGAGCCTAAGTCCAGAGTGGACTCGACACATCAGCTGTTTCCCACCGGACAGACAATTAGGGAGCATCCCCTCGGATCCAGAAATTCCACTTCTGGGTATTCACCCAAAGGAAATGAAACCATTATCTCAAAAAAAAAAAAAAAAATCTGCATCCCCATGTTCACTGCAGAATTATTTACAATAGCCAAGACATGGAAACATTAAATGTCCATCCACAGATGAGGGGAAAGGAAATACACACACACACACACACACACACACACACAAGAATATAAAACAGAAGGAAACCATGACATCTGCAACAACGCGGATGGACCTTGAGGGCATTATGCTAAGTGAGGTAAGTCAGGCAGAAAAAGACAAATGCTGTATGATCTCGGTTATGTGTGGAATCTAAAAATAAAGCTGAACACACAGCTGCAGAGAACTGATTGGTGGCTGACAGAGGGCAGAGAGCGGGAGCAGGTGGGTGAACGGGGTGAAGGTGGTCGAAAGGTACAGGCTTCCAGTTACAAGATACACAAGTCCTGGGGGCATGACTGAGCGGGGCCCGCTGTGCCGGGACCAGAGTAGACAAGGCTTGGCTGCCTGCGAGAACCTGATGCCCAGTGAGGAGACCACTCCTCAGAGTGGGGTGAGCTTGCCTGGGGCTTCGCTGGAGAGAAAGTGCTCTCTCCTGGGTCGGGGCTGTGTCTCTAAAAACTGCACAATGGGATTCTCCTGGGAGAGTAACACTGGTAAGTTGCTGTCACCCGTCCCCCGCCACGCCTTCCAAGGGGGGTAATGGATCCATGGGTGGCTCTCAGAGCACCCCGAGGGACAGGCTTCCTGACCCCCCTCAGCAGAGGAGGGAAGAACGTACCTCCAGGGCGATCATCTCCCGGGGAAGTGGGGTCGGGGGGCACTTGTCCGGCAATTGAACATCAACCTCGTTTTTTATCTCATCTTCCAGAAAACCTGAGGGAGGAAACCCCACCGGAGAGCCCAAGGTGACTGTACATTCTCACACCTAAGAGAGGGGGTCAAGCGGACGGGTGGCTTTCAGCTAGTTCAGCTGCCCGAACTGCCCCCGGGACCTGCCATGGCGCCCGGGTCCCATACTAACCTCCCCCACCCAGACTCCAGGATCACCCTGAAAAGCCTCACCAACGGGGGTGTGTGTGTCCGTCAAGACCCGCACACCGTTGACCTCCCCGCCCAGTCAGTTAGACAGCAGACAGAAAAGGGGCTTACGCAGGATCCTCTCCATCGACTCACACCTTCTGACTTCATTCACGAATTTCCTTTGGAAGCTGTTCACATTCACATTTAACTGGAAGTGGAGGGGACCGCAAAGCACACGTTAGTGGCAACAGCTGGTTATTTTATGATATGTTTTCAAGGCTGGAGAACGTCAGTGAGATTATCTTAGAGAAAGATCTTTCCACACACAAGACAGGTGAGTTACAGGCAAAACACCCCTTGACTGACGTTCTCACACTCGATCCCCCAATGCCTCGGCTCTGGCCTTCTTACCCCTCTAAGAGAAACAAAACCCTCCCACAGCTAAGGTTTCCTTACTTTCGGCCGCATTTACGATCCAAATGAGCCTTTAAATCCTCAATAGTCATGAATATGACGAGACCTCGAAAACGGCACAGCTCCGTGCAATGTACCAGGGTCATCAACAAAAATTCGGCACCCCTGTGCTGGTGACCCTCAGCTCAGCCCGCTAAAAGTTACTGAGGAAATGCTCATGTCAGGTCCTGTGCTACGAACTCGGGACACAAAGAACAAGACGTGACCCTTCCATGCAGGAGCTTAATTTGACCTTGACCTTGGTGAGGAAGTAAAGATGAGTAATGAGTCCGATTGTCTAAATTCGATTCAAAACAGACTGATGAGGATCTAAATTGCCTCTGGGAAGTGATAGCCCAACATCACATTCAAGACATCAGTCCAAGAATGTTACTCCAGGGAGGCTGTGGACTTCAGGACAGTTCGTCCTCAGACAGACTAGTCAGGAAGACTTGGTTTCTGTCCTCAGAACAAGGTTTGGTGATCCATGGGCCCACTGGGTATCTCCAATGCTTTGATGCTGCTCCACGGGAAACAGAATACAAGGCCCCCAACATGTAGTGACTGCATCAGACCCTCAACACCTTCCTGCAGATCAGCCACACACGAAAGAAGGGGGAACATGTTTGCAAGTCACCTGTCCCACATCGTCACCAGTCCTAGGCAGAGGACTAGAACCACGGAATTCCACGGATTCCAGCTCAGGGCTCCTCTTCCCACACTCTGACCACTACCAAGAAGAGGTATGAAAGAGCCGGCCACGCCCACTCCGCCTTCCTCTGGCCTCCAAAGAATGCAGTACTTACATCTTTGAACTGAACCAACCCAAGCTCTCCCAGCTCAGCCACACAGCAGTACGCAGCCTCCACCTGGAGGAACAGTTGTGACAAACACATCTCCTCGCTTCGGAACACAGACGCCATGTTGACCCAGCCGTGGTCTGCAAGCGACAAAGATGTTTGATGTAGTACATGCGTGAAAACCTTAGGATGAAAATTGCTTTTTGTTGAGCCACATTAAAACCCAACAGAAAAAAAAAAAAATCTAACAGGAATCACTCTTGATTTTTAAAATAAGAACAAGGTAGCACTTTCACCACCTATCAGGTTGGCAAAAGATTAAAAAAAAAAATGACTAAAGAGTCACATTACGGAGGATACGAGGAAGGAGGAAATTTTCATACACTTAGGGGTTGGAGTGTAAATTGGTACAGTTTTTTTCAGAGAGCAGTTTGTCAAATCAAATTTTGTTACTCATACTCATGACTGAAGATTTCCACGCAGATGTTTCAGATAACATTTTATATGATAATTATCATAAATGGTCCTAACCTAGATATCCATCAAAAGGGGAATGTTTAAACTGATACGTCAGAACCCTGTGAAGTCAGTGGGAATGAAATAAACCTTTATGTCCTCTCTATGAAAACAGGATACGCATCTAGAATCTATTTTCATCAAAGATCCTCTAAGACTGCCCTACGGCTGCCAAACCAAATCGTTTTCCCCAAAGTCCAACCTTCTGGAAGAACTCTCTCACAGCACATCATTACTTCCTCATATCATTTTATCACACAGACTATTCACTATTTGCCGCACACTGGGTTTATCCCTCCTGTCCTAATCCATCCATTAGTCCATTTTCCCAGGAAAAAGTCTAAATCCCTTGACCTCGCTAACAAGAGGCTGCATAACCTGGCCTTTGCCTTCCCTCCAGCTTCCCCTCTCCTCACACTACTCCTGGACACACAGAATTTCTCCTGGAGCTCCCACCTGCCTCAGGACCTTTGTCCATGCTTCCCTCTACTTTTGGAACTTCAACTCCTTCCTGCCAACCCTGTCCCCCCCTGCGCTGCAAATAATCCTGTCATTTCTCAGGTCTCAGTGTAAGGAACCTCATCCTCCGTAAGCCTTTCCTGACCACCACCAACACCCCCAATGAACTAAGCCCCCTCCTACATGCTCCCAGAAGACAAATGATCTGCAATTACTTGTTTAATGTCTGCATTGCCCACTAGACAGAAAAATCCACGAGATTAGAACTTTATATGTTTTTTTTTTTACTCTATCTCCAGTCTAGCCCAAGCACAAAGCAGGTGTTCAACGATTCCTCATTTATTGACTAGAAGCTGTCTTCCTTCCCTCCAGAATGCACAGTCTAGGCCCCTATTTTTGCCTTTTGACACCAAAATGAATTAACTTCTCACACTGTTCTTGCTGATAAATAAGGCAATGTTTCACAGAAAGAGACAGAAGACATTAGCTTCATGCTGACCAAAAAGCACAGCCTCCTACCCCAGCTTCTTCCAAGCAGGTCCTGGACTGGGGGCTGGAGCTGGCCGGGCGCTGCGGCTCCCAGTGACTTTCTTCGCCTGACACCTGAGCGGTAAGACTTTGGCTGCAGTGCCTGGGCCCACGAGGCAGCCCAGGTGGGACCGAGCTGGCTGGGGATATCACTCACACACAGGCGGCTGCCCGGCAGTGCCGAGTCCCAGCTTCTTCTTGCAGGAGCCCGCGAAGCCTGGAGGCAGCTCTTGTTGTATCAACACTGGCCCGGGTGAGGACGAACCTGCCCGCCAGCCTGCTCAAATCCCCTCCCTTCCTCCTTCCCCCCGCCCACCTCTGCCCTGGGCCACGACCTTGGGGCTCAGACAGCAAGCAGTGCTGGTCCTCTCTAAGGAAAGTAACCGATTCCTCTGTCCCCTGCCCGCTCAGTGAGTGGAGAGTCTGGGAAAAGGTTTCTGGAGGCCTCAGAAGAACGCTGAGACAGGCGTCCAGTGTTTTCTACTCAACACACTAAAACACTTTTAGTGATAAAAATGAAATAACGTTACAAATTTGTTTGGGAAAAGAAAAAAAAAATCGCTCGCCATCCTATCAACATTTTCAAACACACTTTACTTTCAAAGGACAATAGACAAATCTTTATAAATAGCCGATGGCTCCAAGTGATCCAGGTGAAAAAGAAACAGGGCCAGAAGTGAGGTTTACCCTTATCTTAGTGAAGATCCGCTCTTTCCCATTTATTTGGTGGAAAGGTAAAGAGCAGAAAACAGGCCAATTAGATGCATTTCTCTTGGCCTGGGGATTGGGGGCCACCGGAGGGCATATTAACCGGCTCTGCGAGCCACCCAGCCACACGCCCCAACTTGGGGTGCCTGTGAAAAAACGTACCCCAGGCTGAGGGGTGCTTTCTGTTTTGTTTTGTTTTTTTTACTTTTTACTATGGAAAAATTAAAGCATCTGCAAAATTACAGGGAACAGTATAAGGAACTCATAGGTACAGACCATTGTTGAATTTTGCATCATCTACACACTTCCATCCGCCCCAGATTATTTTGAAGCAAATCCCATACATCATGTTGTTTCTTTCAAAATATGTTAATATTTATCTCTAAAAGATAAGGATTCTTTCACACACAGGCGCGCACACACAGGTGACCTTTGAATGACATGAGGGTGGGCGGGCACAGTTAGAGCACTGACCCCTCTTCCCTTCTCTCTTCCCCCCTCCAAGCCTCTGCTGAAAATCTGCATATAATTTTTGACCCTCCCCCACCAAAACTTAACTACCAACAGCCTGCTTTTGACCAGAAGCCTCACTGATCACATAAACAGTCAAGTAACAAATATTATGTATGTTTATGTATTATATGCTGTTTTCTTACAATAAGGTAAGCTAAAGAAAATAGCATTAAGAAAATCGTAAGGAAAATACATTACAGTACTGTACGTACTCACTGAAAAAAACTGCATATAAGTGGACCGCATAGTTCGAACCCCCGCTGTTCAAGGGTCAATTATAAATATATATAAAATACCATGGTCACACCCAAAATTTCACAATTCCTTAATATCCATATCCCATCAGTGTTCAAATTTCCCAGATTGTCTGAGCTCTGCCTTTTTAATAAGTCCCTCAGGTGATTCTTGTGCGTGATCAAATTAGAACCATTGCTTTTCCAAACACAGGGTGAAAAATATGAGTCTGGGAGGCAGCAAGGAAGAGAGGCAGGCTACTGGCAGTTTGGGAACCATCGGCTAAGAAGATGCGGGATTTTTAACGTGGGGCAGTGCAGGCCAGGGCCTCTGAGACAGCAGGTGGTGAGTGACTAGACCCCGTAGGAAAAATACCGCTTGGGTTTCTTAAGAATCAGAGTTTGGCCTCACAGGGCAGATTCCCTCAAGACTCACCTGGGCAAAGTTCCGGAGACTGAACTCGGGATTCACGAAGCAGAGCAGGAAGATCAGAGCTGGAAACTGCAAAAGAGCATCAGCGTAGGTGCTGCCGCCCCCATCCCAGGAGCCCAGAGACGGGAGGGGGCCCTGCCCCAGTGGCTGCCTCCCTCTTCTTGCCCCTCCTCTCCTCCCCTCGCCCACCTCACAGGCTGCTCTTCTCCCCAGCGCTGGTTTGCTGTGCCTTCCATCAGCAGGGGAGCAGCAGTTCTCAGATGTGCAGGGGGCGCCCAGGAATCACTGAGAAGCGTACAGAGAAAAAAGTACATCTTTACAGTTAAGAGCAGAGTGGAGTCCCCTGCCTGAGTCAGGATCCCAGCTCCGCCATTTACCACGTGTGACCTTGGGGAAGCTATTTAACCCCGAGGCCTCAGGGTCCTTATCTGAAAAATATAACAGGATCTTAGATATTTACTTAGAATGTGGAAGTATGGAAGGGAGGAGTTATTTCAAAGTTTGCTTTCTTCTTTCCTAAAGCTCCAAGTCAATCCTGCAAAAGGCCAGCACGCTCATGTGACCCTGGCAGGGTCATGAATGAATGTGATCTGTCTAAAAGGAGATTTGCATGTCCTTTGACTCGATAATCTCACTTGAGGAAGTTCATCCGAAAATAAAAAAAGTTTCTACGGCCATGCCGCCCTGAATGTGCCCGATCTCATCTGATCTCGGAAGCTAAGCAGGGTTGGGCTTGGTTAGTACTTGGATGGGAGAGCACCTAGGAAGACCAGGTGCTATAGGCATAAAAAAAAAAAAAAATTAAGGATATAAACCCAAATTTAACCATAAAAATGTCTATCTACTGTAGCACTGTTTGTAGTAAGTGCGTAATTGTAAATGAGCTATGATGCCAGCGAAGGCCTTGTGCAAGCTGGACTTTGACCCTCACCCAGCTATACCAAAGCCACATGCCCCAGCGTGGTGTCAGAGAAGGCGCACCCCTTCCCCCAAAGTAATAAGGCGCCTTCATTAACCTGTCTCGGGGTGGTATCTGAAGAGACCTAATCAGAACTTTCACCCTTCCCCATTGGTAACAACCCCCGCCCCCCACATTGGGGTGCAGAAGTCAAAGGGGAGCAGTCGCCAGGCACTTCACCTTCTCACAGCAAGGGTCAGTGAGTAGGATCAGCAGAGGTCTAGTGAAAAGAAGAACGAAATGTAAGAAACCACTCTACTCAATTTCGAGACTTACAGTAATCGAGAACGTGGCTTTTGTGGAAAGACAGACACGTGGGCGAATGGAAGAAAATACAGAAGCCAGAAACAGCTCCACACAAGTCCTGTCAGCTGAGTTTTGACAAAGATGAGAAAGCCATTCAGGGGAGGAACCACAGTCTTCGCAACAAATGATGCTGGAGCAACTGGACATTCATAGGTCAAAAACTGAGCCAAAACCTAAACCTCACACATTATATAAAAAATTAACCCAAAACAGATCAGAGAGACACTGAAAATGTAAAACTATAAATCTTGTAGAAGAAACATAGAACATTTTTAGAATTGATGTCTTAGGGAAGAGTTCTTGGACCAGACACCTAAAGCACAATCCATTAAAAAAAAAATGAT